GACATAAGATGCCCAAAATTCACGTTTAGCCGTACGGATGGCCCTACGGGCCACCACACTCGCTTTCCGAAAGAAAAGAAAAGAATCGGTCGTCTGCCTACAGCGGTGCCTCTTCCAGGCTGCACGCTTACAGCGGACAGCCCGAGCACAGTCTGCATTCCACCAGGGAATGCACTTCCGTGGACCTCGAGAGGAAGAGCGAGGGATAGAGCGGAGGGCAGCGTTGAAGACAGTGTCATGAAAAAGGAGGAGAGCGCGAGAGAGAGGCAGAAGGGAGAGGTCAGAGAGAGTAGCACTGAGGGAAAATAGGGTCCAGTCCGCCTTAGCAAACTGCCACCTAGGGAAAGAGAGGGAAGGGCGAAAAGAGAAAAAGGAAACAAGGATAGGGAAATGATCACTTCCATGGAGGTCATCAAGAACCTGCCACGTGAAATCTAAGTAAAGAGAACAAGAGCAGAGAGAAATATCAAGACAAGAAAGGGTGCGAGTCCGAGAGTCCAAATGAGTGGCCTCACCAGAATTCAGAAGAGACAGCGAAGAAGAGAGGAGAAACGGCTCAAGAAGGCGACCCCGGGTATTCGTCAGAACGTCACCCCAAAGAGAATGACGACAATTGAAGTCACCCAGCAGGAGCACAGGCTCCGGCAAGGAGTCTAGGTGGTGTTTCAAATCAGGAAGAGAAAGTGGGACACTCGGGGGGGAGATAAATGGAACAAACCGTGAACCATTTCCCCACAAAGATACGAGCAGCAGAACAATGGAGAGGCGAAGGAAAAAGTAAAGGAACAAAGGGAACATCAGCATGAATCAAGAGAGCAGAAGAATTACAAGCCCCAGCAACGGCTGGGGGGGGGGGAGAGAAAGGAATAGCCACGAAAACCACCAGGACGAGCACCAAGCATCGGCTCCTGGAGACAGACACAAAAAGGCGAAAACCGCGAAATCAGAAGTTGGAGTTCGAGGAAATTGGCGTAATAACCTCGAACGTTCCATTGAAGAATGGACAACGACGAGAAGAGAAAGGACAAAAACAGAGAACAAGGAAGAAACAAAGGCGAAAGAGCAACAGAGCACGTTAAAGAATATCAGGGTCGGGATCAGGGTCAGCAAAGTCAGGGTTAGGGGGCATGGGTAAACTGAGCAAAGACGGAGGGAAGGAAACGGGAGAACAGATCAGAGGTGGGCGGGCGGGGTCCGGAGGAGGAGGAGGAAGAGGAGGAGACAGCGGAGAGGAGCAGGCAAGGACAGCGGCAGGAAGAGGAGGGGTAGAAAGAGAGGAGCGTACCTCAGCAAGGGCAGCAACTGAGAGGGAAGCGGGGGCTAAAGAAACCTCCATAGCAGGAACAGGGGGCGCAACCACCGAAATGGGAGGGGAAGGAGCGAGAGAGGCAGAAGTAGGGGCCGAGGAAGAAAGCAAAACCTTCTTACCCGCCGGGGAGGAGGAAGGAGAGGAGCCAGGTTTACGCTTCTGACGTAAAGAGACAGGTGTCCCAGCAACCACGTACTGGGCAACGGATTCTAGCGTCTCAACAGGAGAAGCTGAACGAGAGCACACATGACGACCGTTTGGAGAGCGATGGACATCAGCCCGCACCGACAGGCAGCGGGGAGAGTCAAGAGACGGAGGGAGACGAGGAAGACACAGGAGACACGACAGACCGGGTAGAAGGAAGGGGAACCCCAGACAGAGGACCAGGAGGAGGATCCTTCGGGAGAGAACCCAAAGGAACAGAGGAGGGGGCAGTGGGTGCATCAGGGTCCAAGGCCCGGAAACGGTTGTGAGTCTGAGGAAGGCGGGAAGGACGAGGAGAGGAAGAGCGCAACACGCGAGCATAAGAGATATTAGCATAAGGCGGGAGCCGGCGAACCTGGCGTCTCGCCTCAGGAAAAGATAAACGCTCCCGGTGCTTCAAGTTGAGGACGGCTGCCTCAAGCTTGTAATGGACACACGCACGGGAGAAGGTAGGATGGGCCTCACCACAGTTGAGGCAACGAGCCTGGGGAGAAGTGCACTCCGACTTAGAGTGACCTTCGCCACCACACAAAGGACAGAGAGAGACAGTCCCAGAGCAGCGGAGGGCACCATGCCCAAACCTCCAGCACTTGTTGCAGAGCCGAGGAGAAGGAATGGACTCCTGGACAGAGCACCTGGCACCAGCAAGAATGACAGAGGGTGGAAGGGTCCTACCATCAAAGGTAATCTTCACAACCCGGAGGGGTTGACGGCGACTACCACGAGGGGGACGAGTAAACGTGTCCACCAGAGAATAGAATGGCCCTGGGCAGCAAGGATATGTCGAATATCGTCGTGGCAGTCGCGCAGGTCCCGAACACCGGTCGCAACATGGGGCGGGAGCAAAATAGTGCCAACACTGGCATTCAACTGAGCGTTCTTCGAGACCCGAACAGGGGTCTTGCCAAGGCAGGATAAGGCAACCAAGCGGGAAGCAGCATCCTGAGAAGGAGCAGCAACGACACGTGTACCGAGACGAGTGGGGTTGAAAGTAATGGAGGCATCCACGGAATCAACGAGATGTCGATGGAGGGAGAAATCGTCAGGAGGCGCAGAATCAAGAGGGAGGAGATCAAAATATTTGGCCCACGAAGCGGGACCAAACAAGGCTAGATAGGTAGCAGAACTGGAAGGAATTGAGCGAGGGCGGCCGTGACGAGGACGGCGGTGAGAACCCCCAGAGAGAGAGGGGTTAAAAGGCGCAGTAGTTACAACTAGAGAAGGAGCCGCGCCAGGGGACGAGGTAGTCACCACTGGGGGCTTGGGGCTCGACCCAACCACAGAGGAGGGAGGGGAACCAGAGGAAGGAGTCAGAGAGGCCAAAGGAGGAGCAAGGTCGGGACCCAATGCAGCGGAAGCTACAGAGCCCGGTCTTCCAACACGGACTGACTCGGGGGCTTGGTCGCCCACCCCACGAGCCTGAGAAGGTAAACCAGAAACAGCCGAAACAGGGGTCATCATCATTACGAAAAGAAGAATTCATTCACGAATGTGCCCCCACACCCACCATGGAGCCACAATTAGAGGCAGGACACCCAACAAGAAGCTATCGCTGATCTTGCCGGGGCCTCCTAGGGTGCGTCGTGAGTATACGCCCCACAAACGCCACCTTAAGAAACCGACAGTCCGTCGAGATCGGGTTCAGTGACGAAAGGGGGATTGACAATAAAACGTTCCCCTCACTCTCGACGTCGGGTACTACAGTTCTATGGGTGCAAGAGTATGCCTCCTCAAGCACTTGGGCGTCAAAATAGAAGAAGTCCAAGGGAAGAACCAGAACAAGCAAAAGGTCGGCAGGAAAGGGCAAGCAGATAGGAGAAGAGGGGGGAGAAAAACGAAACAGAAGGAAAAGGAAAAGGTGCTCAGCAGAATTGGAGAGGACGGCAGCAGGAGCACAAGGCTAGAAAAGGACAGAGGACTGTCCCAAGGAGCATCACACTCCGGCAGCCGCCCACTAAGCCCCCACACGGCGACAACGAGCTGAGCGGGGAGGGGGTGTTAGTGTTCAAATTAAAGTTGCAGTACAGTAATTTTAGTGTAAAATAGTTTTCATAAACTGTATTGTAGTACTCAACATACAGTAGAACTACTTATCAATACAGTGTTAATGGCATAATACAGTACAGTACGTATTTACTGTGCAGCATTCACAACGCCATGAGAATTCAAGATGGGCATAACTTCAACAATAAGGTAAACAACAACTGTAACACAGCATTTTTTTTTGTGGAGTAGTAATATAGGTAAAGTATATAATATGAAAATGCATTTTTATTGTTGACTAGAAAAAAAAAACTGACGAAAACACCTCTTGAAGGTCACCTCTTGCAACGAATCCAACGCTGCAACGCACCGGGGTTGATCCCATTTAGTGCGTTGAATCGAGGTTGTACTGTATTGATATTTAAATTGTCAATGTTTACTATGTATTGATTTATTGTCGCAATAAAACTTGTACTGTAAATTAAAATTAATTCTGTTCATAAGTATCCAAATACTGTACCAGTAGCTGTTTTTCAACAAGTAGCCTCCATAGTTTACTGTGTTGAAAAAAATTATTATTTGACATATTGAACATGGCTGTCCTAGATGGCCAGTAGTCCATCCATCCACAGTATTCAACCGTGCCCAGTTTCCATCAAGGTCAGATAAGCAGAAGTTTACTGGAATTCTGATTATTTTTCTAACAATATTTCACTGAACACAGATACCCATTATTTTATTTTAAGTAGCCCTCTTAACCCTTGCACTGCTCACCTATTTTCGGCAAAAACGTCTTGGTGCAATTGTCAAGGACATATTTTTGTTATTTTTACAAATGTTCAGGTAAATTTAATGTCAAAATGTTTCCAAAGTCAACTATTTCCATTTCAAAACACAAATAGTAATGAAAACATTAAAAAACATTAAAATATAGCCAAATTAAAAAACAAAGAGCACAACTCTCTAAGCGCCTAAAGGCGCTTTGCGCAGTGCAGTGGTTAATGCAACACTGAAAACATTTCAAAGAATATCTAAAAAATTCATGAGTGCTTTGCCTTGATGGGCAGAGGGGCCTGACAAATGAGTGAACAGCGCTTCTGATTCGTAGTCCTGAGGTTCCGGGTTTGATCCTCGGTGGAGGCGGAAACAAATGGGCAGTTTCTTTCACCCTGATGCTCCTGTTACCTAACAGTAAAAAGTTACCCAGGAGTTAGACAGCTGTTACAGGCTGCTTGCTGGAAATGTGTAACAAAAAGGAGGCCTGGTCGAGGGGATGCTAAGCCTCGAAATCATCTCAAGATCACCTTAAGATGGGTATTATTACATAACATTAGCAAAGGTCCCTACTCATCTGTAGTTAACTTTATCCATGGAGGAAGTACTGTTGTAGGCAATGGCAATGCCAAGTACTATGGCAATGCCTACAAATTAAATAATTCCATAAAGCATACAGTTATGAGTCTCATGCTACTGAGCTTCTTAAATAGACTACCACAATATTTACCTCCAGAGTCTAAGCATTCCCAATATTTGTCCCTGGTGTCCCAACACTGATAGCGGGCTTCCTTGTCTGGGAACTGGGATGACTTTTCACTTATTTCCCTCGGCATTTTACACTGAAAGTGAAAAAAAAAGAGCCTTCAATTATGGTATTTCTATAACAAAAACTTATGTTTAATGCAATACTGTATTAAGTTTGAAGATTTAAAAGAGTTTAACAAAAAGATACATATGGTTCGATCACATGTGGCCAAATTTGCACTTGACAAGTTGGAGATCTCTCTCCAACCTGGCAACAATTATGATATGAGTAGAAGCTAAAACAAAAAACATTAAAATTGGTGTAAAACCTGCCATCAGGAAGTTACACGGCCAAATAGCAATAGTGGCCTTCCTTGAATCACTTTATAATAATCATGAAAGTTTCAAGCAATTATGAGGCTATAATAATTCATAATAATTAATTCATAGTTCATAATAAGCCAAATAATGACCAAATAAATAACTGACAAGCTAATTCAATAGCTGCCTGATTAGGTAAGGTGTGATATAGCTTTAACCCATAAACTGCGCAACACATCCTATGACATGTTGCGCAGTTTAACAACTTGCCCAAAAGTGCGCATCACGTCATACGACATGTTGGAGTACTATGCAAGATTTAAACGACCTACGGATACACAGGGTTCACCTCACCTTCATCAGGGGTCTTGTAAACAGACGGCATTTTTTTTTAAATCGTGGGCAACATTCCCGGGTGTAAGGGCCTAAGTACTGAGTGAGCCACCAAGGCTAGCAAATGCAGCATGAGCTCACAGCACTGCTATTCAGCTTGTGACCACAGCATCGCCTAAAAATGTCAAAATATATATGTACATGCTATTACTAAGCAATGACAGTATTACAGAAGACCCCTGTGATAAAAATGACCAGGATTCAGCTAATAGCAGGATTGTTGTGATAATTAGCGCTGTAGTAGGAGAAGTAATCTTGGTGGGGAGGGAGGTAGCGTTGTCTGCTGACTCTGTGTGACCACCTTTTACTATCTGGACTTATACTAGCTTAGTGGTTCGCTATGGTGAACAAAACGGGTAGATATTTATATATAACGTCTGAATATACAGTAGTGAATAAAAGCAAACACAGTATGGTGGGAGTAGAATGTTGGCAAATCAGGTGAGGTGAGGGAATGGCAGCCAGTGGCGGGCTGGCTGGTGTGTGGTGGTCACTCCTTGCTGCAGTTTGACTCAGCATACCAACTTAGTTGTTTGTTATGAACACAAATGTAGATACTGTACTTATATATAACGTGTATATATAGTGTAATAACACTAAAAGAAGTGTTGGAAGAAGCCATTTTGGTGAGGGAGGTGGTGTCATCTTCCTGACTTGTCATGCTGTGTAAGGGTGGCCACTATGCTCTTTGTGCACTATACCAGCTAAGATGAACAGAACATGTAGATACTTATATATAACGTCTGTATATAGTGAATAAAAGCAAAAACAGTTTGATGGGAGGAAGATGTTGGCGAGTGAGAAGTTTTTGAGGGAGTGGTGGCGAGAGGCTGACTGGCAGATGTGGTGGCCACTTCTCGTTGCTTTTTGACTCGCAATATCAACTTAGTGGTTCATTATGGTGAACAAAACATGCAGATACTTATATATAACCTGTGTATATAGTGTAATAACCAACAAAGTATTTGTTTATTGTTTTATGAACATAATTGAATCAATAATATGCCCACCATAATTTTGAGTACGGCGATGATTCACATTTTATTATTTAAATATATCATACTACACACTATTGAATAATATTACAGCAAAAAAACGAAGAAAAAATAACACATTGAAATAATTAGGTAATTATATCTTTGTGGCAACTCCCGCCTGACAGCTGTGGCGGAGCAGAACTTCCCCGACGCTTGCCGAGTCAGCACCACTTTTTTGCCAGACTTCCCTACCCTATTGCAGCCAAAATATACCACTAACGATTTTTTTATTATTTTTTCCTGTGATCAAGGAACACAAATTAACAGGTTTGTAAGAGAAAAAAAAATTTGATTTTTTTTTTATGCACCTGTGGGTGACAAATGCCAAATAGCCCAGAGCAGCTTAACCCATAAACTGCGCAACACGTCATATGACAAGCTGGACGTTAACAACTTGCCCAAAAGTGCGCATCACGTCATATGACATGTTGGAGTACTATGCAAGATTTAAACGAGCCTACGGATACACAGGGTTCACCTCACCTTCATCAGGGCTCTTGTAAACAGACGCCATTTTTTTTAAAAATCGTGGGCAACATTCCCGGGTGTATTGGCCTCAGTACTGAGTGAGCCACCAAGGCTGACAAATGCAGCATGAGCTCACAGCACTGCTATTCAGCTTGTGACCACAGCATCGCCTAAAAATGTCAAAATATATATGTACATGCTATTATGTAGCAATGACAGTATTACAGAAGACCCCTGTGATAAAAATGACCAGGATTCAGCTAATAGCAGGATTGTTGTGATAATTAGCGCTGTAGTAGGAGGAGTAATCTTGGTGGGGAGGGAGGTAGCGTTGTCTGCTGACTTTGTGTGACCACCTTTTACTGACTGGACTCACCATACTAGCTTAGTGGTTCGCTATGGTGAACACAACGGGTAGATATTTATATATAACGTGTGAATATACAGTAGTGAATAAAAGCAAAACAGTATGGTGGGAGTAGAATGTTGGCAAATCAGGTGAGGTGAGGGAATGGCAGCCACCGTGGCGGGCGGCGGGTGTGTGGTGGTCACCTTGCTGCAGTTTGACTCACCATACCAACTTATTTGTACAAGTATGGTGAACACAAATGTAGATACTGTACTTATATATAACGTGTATATATAGTGTAATAACACCAACAGAAGTGTTGGAGAAGCCATATTGGTGCATCTGGCCTTGAGGTGGCCGTCATCAGCTGACTGTAGTCATGCTGTGTAAGGGTGGCTCACTATGCTCTTTGTGCACTATGCAGCTAAGATGAACAAAACATGTAGATACTTATATATAACGTCTGTATATAGTGAATTATAGCAAAAACAGTTTGATGGGAGGAAGATGTTGGCGAGTGAGATGACTTGAGGGAGTGGTGGCGAGTGGCTGACTGGCAGATGTGGTGGTCACTTCTCGTTGCTTTTTGACTCGCAATATCAACTTAGTGGTTCATTATGGTGAACAAAACATGCAGATACTTATATATAACCTGTGTATATAGTGTAATAACCAACAAAGTATTTGTTCATTGTTTTATGAACATAATTGAATCAATAATATGCACACCATATTTTTGAGTACGGCGATGATTCACATTTTATTATTTAAATATATCATACTACACACTATTGAATAATATTACAGCAAAAAAACGAAGAAAAAATAACACATTGAAATAATTAGGTAATTATATCTTTGTGGCAACTCCCGCCTGACAGCTGTGGCGGAGCAGAACTTCCCCGACGCTTGCCGAGTCAGCACCACTTTTTTGCCAGACTTCCCTACCCTATTGCAGCCAAAATATACCACTAACGATTTTTTTATTATTTTTTCCTGTGATCAAGGAACACAAATTAACAGGTCTGTAGGAGAAAAAAAAATTTGATTTTTTTTATACACCTATGGGTGGCAAATGCCAAATAGCCCAGAGCAGCTTAAGGGTTAAATAGGGCTACAAGAACAGAAGAACTGGCAAAATTTTACTGGTAATAAATATATATATACAGAATATACTGTATACGATTTTGAAAACAAAATAGCATTGTTTGACAGTCTTGTGGACGTTTTACTACCCTCCCCCCAACCCATGCCAGATCATCCTGATACATATATATAGTAGTATATCTACAGTATACTACTGTATATAGTACTATCAGTACTATCACCTCAGAGCCCAAAAGAAAGTAGAATTATTACTATTAAATAAAAAAACCAGCATTGAATGAAATGAAATGCCATTTTCTGGGTAAGACCCGGGGGCTTCCCGAGCTCACCGGATTGATATGTATTAGACCATGGCATCAGTCGATGGAGTTCTTGCCTACCAGGGACCACGAACCAGAACCTAGCCCCCTCAGAAAGGCACAAGGAGCAATGGCTTATGGAAACCCCCGCGTGTTTGGAAGCATTCTATGTCTGCCATCGACCGGGATTTGATACCCAGAGAGGTAGGCGTAACAAAACAAACCCCACATGGTAAAAATTGCTACCTATCTTGAAGTTATCTCGAGATGATTTTGGGGCTTTTTAGTGCCCCCACGGCCCGGTCCTCGACCAGGCCTCCACCCCCAGGAAGCAGCCCGTGACAGCTGACCAACACCCAGGTACCTATTTTACTGCTAGGTAACAGGGGCATAGGGTGAAAGAAACTCTGCCCATTGTTTCTCGCCGGCGCCTGGGATCGAACCCAGGACCACAGGATCACAAGTCCAGCGTGCTGTCCGCTCGGCCGGCTCCCTCCCATGCTCGGGAGCCGGCTAAAGCCAAACCTAAAATTGAACAGGGAGGCAGAACTCTCAAATTAAACAAGCAAGTGATCTCAAGTGAAACGTCATTCCACATTCTGGGTCCCTTGATTTGCAGAGTATTTCTAGTTTGGTTAGGTCGCACTCTTGGAATATCAGATATGTATGTCTTTCTAGTGTGGTGCCCACACTAGAAAGTGAAACCCATGGGTTCCGTTACAACGTTCTAGAAAGTGTTTAAGGTCAGAATTGGCATTACAGTTCAGAGTTTTAAATATATAGAGTACACTTGAGAGGATGTGCAGTGACTTAATATCTAACATATTCTAAGATTTAAGGGGGCCAAGTGCTGTCTGGGACCAAAGTTTGTTATTGTTCTAATATCATTTTTGTGTCAAGTAATTAGAGGATGTAGATGATTTTGGTTAGTAGAACCCCAAGCACAGATACCATAATTGAGATAAGGATAGATGAGAGAGTAATAGGGCATTACCATGGCAGGGCGAGATACATAATATCTGATTTTAGAAAGAATGCTAAATGTTTTAGACACTTTTTTTTGCTATATTTTGAATGCAGCCCTGAAAATTCAGCTTGTTATCAATGAGAATACCAAGGAATTTAACATCTACTTTGTTACTAATTTGGATATTATTAATTCTTTGATTAATTTAATCTGAGGATTTATTACCAATATAGAAGGTTTTTGTCAATGTTAAGGGTGAGTTTGTTAGCAGTTAGCCAAAGATGGACTTTATTTAGTTCAGTATTCACTGTCTTTCTAAATACAAGGGCTAGGACTGGAGAAAATGATGGTTGTGTCATCAGCAAATAAAATTGGCTTCCGATATTGAGAAATGCATTTGGAAGGTTATTAATGTAGATGAGAAAAGGGAGAGGGCCAAGTATACTGTCCTGTGGAACATCAATGTTGATGGATAGGGTGGGAGAAATGGAATCATTCACGGAAACATAGTGGAGCCTGTCAGTAAGGTAAAACTGAAAGTATTGGAGGGAGTGACCTATGACTCCATAATGATGTACAGTAATTCAAGAAGGTTGTGGTGGTTAACAGTGTCAAAAGCCTTACATAGGTCAACAAGTAACCCAACAGGGAACTCATTTTTATCAAGAGCTGCATATATTAAGTTAATCATACTAATCAGTGCATCATTGATGCTTTTTTGAGTCTGAAGCCATACTGGCAAGAGGTAAGTATATTGCGTTTAGCTATATA